TTTTTATCTTTTCTTCAAGMGACAATAACGTTGCATTATAAAATATATATATATGTTCTTACCGAAAAATTTCCTATAAACACAATAGTTTCTCGAGAGAACACTCTAGGATAAGTGAACCTGCAAAAACAAGTTAATACTCCGACGATCTTGTTAGTCTTCGTGCCGGGTAAATAATGAAAACTTCAGTTAATCAGTTTTTGCTTACCTCAATCCTTTGTTTCTATTGGTATTTATAGGGGATGGGAAAAGTAACCGTTCGAGTGGTAAGGATCCTCATTTGAATAAACGGTTCCAATTCCACAAAAATAGGGAGACATGTGTTTAATGGAGGGAACAATTGGCCTGTCACGTGGATAGTAAGCAAAACCGTTCGACTGGTCGCCTAGTTCAGCTTTGATCCGAACTAGTATCCTTTACAAGTTGCCCCCATCGGGTATTTTTGTCCCTTGTAATTAATTTAGTGTATATTATTATAATATATAAAAGTAAAATAGCATCATTTGAATATATTTAATACGTTGGCGCAGTGGTTTAAAGTTTAGACGCTTGTCCATAAACTTTACTGGGGCACTTCGATTTCTACATCTTTTTTCTTCTTTTTATAGAAATAATCAATTGTTTTTAATAGAAATAATAAACTTTCTACTTATTATTATAATAAATAATTATTATTATTATTATTATTAATTATATTTTTTATTCATTGAAAAATATAATTTAGTGTATATATAATATATATAAAACTGAACAAAAATAATCATTCTATATTCATTTTTTTTATAAAATAATCAACTTTCTACTTATTATTATTATTATTATTATTATTATTATTATTATTATTATTATTATTATTAGCTGTAATTTTTTATTCATTTTAAAATACAATTTATTATATATATAAAAAATCGAAAGTTCTAATCATTTTATATATTTGGTCGTCTTGAATTTTTAAAAGAATCAAACTTGGCGTCACGTCTGTAGGTCATCTCTCTGCTTGCTGACGGTTAATACGAAGAGACGACCACCTATTTCAAGAATTACTCTTGAAAATAGTTTGTTTAATGATATATTTTCTTGAATAAATTTGATAAAAAAATAATATTAAAAAAAGGTATGTGTTTTTTATGCTTTTAAATGGTTTATAGATAGCTAAAAATATATTTTTTTAAAAAAATTCGAAATATTTTATTAAAATATTAGACAATGCTTTTAACTATTTGAAAACACACAATCAAAATTAGTTTGAAAATTTGTAAAAACAGATTAAAAAAAGTATTTATAGTACTTTTAAACGGAGAATTTAATTAATTTTATTTTAAAAGTACTTAACAAATAAATGTTTGAGTATCAATAGAACGCTTGCATACACAAATGAGTTTTAACCATCATACGTCTCGAGTTCTCACGTTCTGATGGTTCGAAATCCTAATTTGCCAAAAAAAAAAAAAAAAGGTTATTTAAGTTTTTTTTAACACAACTGAAATGAACCTCGAAAGTTTTAGAATAAAATTTTATTTTTTTTTTTAATTTTCCAGCACTCTATTTAGACATTTGGACATAATGTTTTTTAATATTATATATCACTTATTAATAGACGTTTGTTTTGTTTTTGCTAAGTGTATGCAATCACCCTTCTCTCACACATACATTAATCTTAAAGTCTCTTTTTTATATTGAAGAATTATGCTACTTTTCTTGAAAATTTCCAATGAATTCAAGAAAAAAAAAATCTTTGAATAATATTCCAAGAACTAAAGAAGACCTTCCTAATGCATTGCTATATGGGCATTTAATTATACTTTAGTAACTTGTAAAAGTTTTTTTTTTTTTTTTTTTAAGTTTAACATGTGGGGTAGAGGTTTGAACCTCCAATTTTTTAATCGATGATATATTTCTTGACCAATTGAGTTTGAGTTGTACTTAAGTTGACAACTTATAAGAGTTAGTACTATTGTGTATAATAAAATTTATGACGATTAAAATATCATTTTGAGTCATGTGTTGTAGGACTAGCTTACTCTATTTTAATATATGTATTCTTAAATATCTAAATATAGTCTCAACACTTTCAATAAATTTTAAAATTAGTCAATCTTAAAGTTAATTTTTGTCTAACTTGAAAAAAGATACTATTATTTCATGGAAGAAAAGACACGATGTGTATATATTTCCCAAATTTTTAGAGAGAAGATTGATAAAGATTAAATATTTTAAGAAAATTTAACAATAAACTAACCTAGGACTAAATTAAGATTTATTTGGAGTACAGAGACTAAATTTTGATCGAATAATAATATCAGAGCTTAAAGTTCAAACAACATCTGATCCAAAACATTTAGTGGGAGGGTAGGTCAAACTCACAACTTCTAAATTGGAGATATATGTCAGTTACCATGAAGCTATGCTCGTTTTGATGAAATGATATTACTACTGTTATTTATGAAACTTAAAATTTCTAGTGTTACAATTCTAACCCGATCAAACTTATTACCGTAAGTAAGATTACTATATAATATGGACTAATTAACCGACTATATAGCCAAGTCAACTATACAAAATTTGAAATTGCATAAGATGGGATTGCATAATCAAATGAACTATAAAACTTAACTTTGCTATAACTTGTGTTTTTTAGTATACAACAAATTGGGAGGGTGGGAGTTTGAACCTCCGACTTTAAGAAGATGAATATTTGTCTATTACAGGTGAGTTATGCTGATTATGATGACTCCCATAAGTTGTGTTTGATATATATCGGTCCATATGTAACATTAATGCATTTGATTTCAACAGTTATTCTAAAGTAAACAAAAGTCATATAAAATCTCACACATATCGAGTCAAACTCTGCCATAAGGCAAAATTATTCAAATCCTTCACATTTTTTTCTTTTCCTTAATTACTTTTCTTCAAGAAAAAGTAAAGAATATAATTTGCGTGGTCAAGGAATGTGTGTGTAGTAATAGTCAAAAATCTACAGAAAAGGTTATTGATTTTTCTCCTTCTTTTTGTTCCATAATTTTAATTATAAGGATTGGAATTTTGTTTGAAGATCCCTTTTAGATTCAAAGAATATTATATTTTAATTAAATTTGACAAATGGCACAAAACGATTGGAAGTGGTGAAACACTTTAAAAATTCTCTCATTTTTTATTTGTAGAAAATGTTTAAGGAAAGAGTCTGAAGTTTTTTATTTTTTGAAGAGAAAAGAAAAAAGAAAGTGTGGATTTGAATTTGAGTCTTTAATTAGAGTCGTCGCCTACAATTTATTTTAAGTTTGGAAGAGGAAATTATTGTGGAAAATTCTTTGCAATTTTTTATATATTCATTCATGAGATTTTGTTTACCCTTTTAGAATTTCAACGGGTCATCTTCAACCTACTAGAAAATTCAATGCTTCTAATTTAAAAGGTATGGTTTAGGGTTTTTAGAAATTTGAATACGTAGTTTCTTTTATTAAAATATTTACAAATATATAAAATATTATTTTGATCTTTATATTTTTTTACTTTCATTTTTCGTTCATTTTATTTCTTGTATTTTTAAAATGTTCGTTCGCAGTCCTCATACTTTAAAAAATTACTAATCCAGTTTTTATTGGTAAAATTTTAACACAAATTTTATACACATTGAAAACCTTGTCATACAAATTATGGCTACATTCAATAAACTTAATGAGTGAAATGTTATGCTAAAATCATGATTAAAAGAAATGAGATGAAAATGAGAATGAAGAGATTAAAATAGTTACTTCTTAAGAGTACATAAACAAAATAAAATGGACGAGTTTCTCTATTATTCATCTAAATTAAATCTGTATGCTGTTTTTTTATTTATATATGCGCGTTCCAGAAGAAAGAAGAGAGGTTAAAGAGAGAGAATTCGAATTGGAACTGGAATTCCAAGGGAAATAATTACGGCATGATATTCTTCGATGCGATTCCCACTCCCATGTTCGACATGCCGTTCGACGCCACCGATTTTAAGGCCTCTTGGCCATCCAAGATTACAGCTGTTCTTTATGCGATCTCGACAATCGATCGTTCAAGGGGAAGTCACAGCCCCGTCACTGGGACGTGGCTCCACGTGGAGCCACGTCCAAGGGAAGTCGCGGCCTTTGCCTGCGACTTCAATGAAATCGCGGGTAAGGACTACGATTTAGCCTGAAATCGCAGCCAACGATTGCAACTTCATTGAAATCGCAGCCAATGACTACGATTTATCTACATTACTTTTGGAATAATTTTCAAACCTGACACTATTTTTGTCATTTGTTTTATAATTATTTAAAAAAAATCTTCGTCAAATGATTCTTTTAAAAAAGGTTTTTTTAGTGCAAAACATTTATTTTGCAAGTACTTTAATTAAGAAGAAAACTAATTAAATATTTAATCTAAAAACACTTTAGTTTTTTTTTATCTATTTTTAGAATTTTAAAATTACTTCTGATTATCAAAAATTATTTTAATTGGTTAAAAATCAATCTTTAAAATTCTAACCAAACACTACTAATTTTTTAAAAAATGCATTTAATTTTGCATAAACACTTTAAAAGACATGTCAAACACATACTCAGTGATCTTTATATACTTTTAAAAGAATTAAAATATAAAGCCCTCGAATTTGGACATTAACTTCCTAAGTTCATTTCTTATAGTATTAGACGATCTTATTCTTATTTCAAACTTTTAAATAATACAGTTAGCATGCCAATGTAAATGCTAAACTAACGAAGCTAGAGACTTAATTAGACACAAATTTAAAGCTCGAGAAATATATTATAAACTAATTTAAAGGTAAAAGACCTAATAAACACAACCTTAAAAGTTCTAGAGTATAAATATTAAACTAAATTAAACACAATCTTTAGAAACCAAACCTATGAATTACCCAGCCAGCCAAATTGAAACTCAAACTAAAACACTAGAAATTACAAAATTATAATTTACTCTAAAATAATAAATAAAATATACTTTTAAATGGAGTGTACAAGCAAAGAAGCAACGAAAACCCACACACACAAAACCATAAAACCACTTGAAACAAAAAATGTTTGAATTGAAATCTAACTGACATCAAATATATATGACGAACAATCGAAGATATACATATACTAGTCATCAATAGACATGATTCGTATATATAATCACGTCACAAATAACGATTCTGATTCATCGACTAGTATATGAACTAAAACCGATCGTACCCGAGAGGAAGATGAAGACACTTAGAAACCTTGGAAACAAATGGTTGCAAATGGAGAAGAATCTCCTTAACCCTCTCTTTGGTCTTCAAACTCCCACCATTGACATGAAGCAACAAACACATCTTCCCCACAACCCCAACCTCCACCATTTCCTCCATCACCCCACAATTCCCATACTTATTCTTCCAAACCGAGTACAAAATCCTCACCACCTTATCATTTGCCAAGTGTGACACCCTCAGAATCTTCCTCGCCAGGACCGCCACCCCGCCGCGGTGCCGGAGCAGCTCCACCCGCCCCTCCGCGCACTCGCACAGCCGGTCCAAGACCACGATCGCCAGCTCGCACTCCCTCCCAACATTCGAGCTCAAAAGCACCTCGATCACGATGAAAACGACGCCGTTTTGGACAGCTTTGATTCTGTTCCTCCCCCATGGGGCGAGGTGGAGGAGGATTTGGAGGGCGGGTTTGGTGGCGACCTGGTCGGTTATGGCTCGGGTCAGCTCTCTGAAGAGGTCGTCTTTGGCGAAGGTTTTCACGGCTTCATCCGCGGCGGCGTAGAGAGAGTTGAGGAAGGAAATGGCGGAGGATCGAGAGGGGATGGATCCAGTTTCTTTGGAGAGAATGGAGATTAGACAGCCAATTATGTCGGTGTTTTTGGACAGAAGTTGTCGGAGTAATGTGTCTGAATAAGAGTTGATGTTGGAAAGAATTTGTATGGCTTCTTCGATTATGGCTTCGTCGTTGTTTTTGTTCAACATGGAAGCTAAGAACTCCAAGGATTCGGCATCCTGATAATCATGAAAAAAATGTGTATTTTTAATTAGAAGCATTTAGGATGATTTTGCGGTGACGATTCAAAATCTTCATGGTGTTGTGTAACATGGTCAAGAATGATTATGAAAATTTTAACCATACCTAAAAAGCTTAAATTAATGCTTTAAAATAAGTGTTTTAAGGATTAATTCGGTGGTTTTAGAAGAAGTGCTTAAGTTTCAAAAGTAATACTTATATGATTGAGAGTGTTTTTTAGTAATGTACCGTGAAAATTACTTTATTTAGTAGAAGTTTTAAAATCTCTATAGTATTTGGTTACAAGAACAAGAATATAATGATCTTAAAAATATCTAAACCACTCAAAAAAAAAACGCATTTTAAGTAATGTTTTAGAAGACTTATTTAATTATTACTTTTTTCAAAAGTGCTTTATATTAAAATTTAGTTTTCATAAAAAGCATCTCAAACTCCCAAACCTGTTACTTATTTCAGTAAAGTATTTCGAATTTTGCGATTTGAAATATCAGAAATGACTTAACCTTTTTATCTTGGAATGAAAACGATTTAGAATGTACGTAGTTAAAAAATTTTGTTTAGATTTTGGCTAGAAGGGAAAAAAGTTTAATAAGTTTAAATAAAGCCCTTCAATCTTAATTTCTTAATAAATAATTCAAATATGACAAATTTAAAATTTCGTTGTTCTTTTTTAATTTTTGAAAACTAAACTCATAAATACTACTTTCAACCTATCTACTGTTTTAAAATTTTCTCCTCTGTTCTAAACTTAAGCTCAGAATTGAAAATTATTTTGTTTTTCAAATTTTGAAAATTAAATTTATAAATACTACTTCTACCTATATTTTCTACTTTTTAAAAATTTGTTTTTTTTCCCTAAAATAATAATTCAAACGTCATTTTAAACAATTTTATAAAAACAGAAAACTAAAGTTACTATTAAAAACTAGCCTTAACAATTTATTTTAAAATTCTAGGAAATCCAATGATTTTAGTCTAAAAACTAAGAACAATATTTTTCAAACAAACAAAACTAAGAACCATACTTAGAGCTTCCACTTATCTTCGTACTCGCTGCTACTAAAATTTTGACATCTTTTAATTTTTTTAAAAATGGAAATTTCTTTTTTTCTGTAAAAAATTTGGGAAAATAAATGACAAGTGAGCACCTATTTCTATATTTACCACGGTTGAAAAATCTACCACTCGTTATTTAAACTTTAAAAAAGAAATTGTTTCCCTCCTCTTATTTATCAATTTTCAATAGTGGTGAACACAATCGTCAGCACCTAATTTTCCAAAACTTTTAACGGATCATCAAAAAAAGCAGAAGAGGAGTGCTAGCTCGTAAGGACCTAAATATTGAAATCTCAACGGAACTCATTTGAAATCCATTCAAATTTTAGAACCCTCTTCAAAATCCCAAAAAAAAAAAAACAAACAGACCATTAAAAGTGTTGAAGAAGAAAACATGAGTTTCATCATATTTGCTTCGTACTTGCCTGCAAGTAGGTTCTGTTCTTCTCACTTTCTCTCACAAGAGAATTCAGTCTCCGCAGGCACTCCACCCTCCCGCTCGGATTTTTCATGGCTTCCCTCAGGAGTTTCATGACATCGCCTCGCTCCACCGGCGCCTTAGGGGTCGGGATCCGCTCCACACCATGCCGGGCGTTGAGGCTGCACCACCCCTGGATCAGCCGCCGCAGCGTGTGGTTCGGCGTCAGATCCTCCGAGTCGCTTAGCGGCTGCTTTGTCACCGGGCAGCTTATGGCAACACCACATCGTCGTTTGGTGCAAGATGACGACAGCAGCCATTTCTCGATGCTGTCTCGGTCGTAAGTGATCCCGGTGGAGACCGTCACGGGGTCTCTCATCATCTGCAGAGATATGGGGCAGAGAAAGTGAGGAGGAACCTCGATCTCTGCCATCGTCGTAGATAAAATCGAATCGAACTAAATTGGAGAGATTTGTCTTTGGAGAGACTGTGGTGTGTCGGGGTTATATATGAGGAGGAGGACGGAGAGAGGTTATTTTCGAAGAATGAGGTCAAAAAATGTTTCGAGGGAGAGAGAGGTGGGGCTTGTGGGGCTTTTATATAAAAATATTACTTTCGCAGCTATGAGTTTTTACAACTTTTTAAATGGATTGTTTACTAAAAACTTACTAGAATTCGAATGAAATAAGATATATAACAATTATTAGTATATTCTTATAACATAGGGGTTTGAAGACAGGTCTTCATACTCTGACATTGGGGAGAACCGCATCGAGACAAAAGAAATGTTTCGACCTGCAGGAGAGGCATCTACTTTCCTACTGACTGAAACACTTGAATCAGTTGAAGGAGGTTTCTATAGGAAGAGAGTTGCGACTCCACGTCGGGAAGGGCAGGGGTTCATGACGAGTTGGCATGAACTGTAACCAAATAAACAAAAGTCAGCCAACCACGAATTCTTGAACCATAAAAGAAACCACCCTATGTTAAGAATGAATAAACCACTACTCAACCAAAAAAGCTGATGTATTAGGTAAATTTAATTCATATATTAAATATCTAATATCTTTAATAAAAAAAATTTAAAAATATAATATAAATTTTTTGTCGAGTCTCTAAGCTATAAAAATAGGTTAGATCGAAAAGTAAGTGGGAGAGTCGTTCCTCCTAAAACTTATGTATAGGTAAATATTTTCTTCTTTTTATTTCTTAATACAAGAGCATCCTAGATTCCTTTTTTCCTTTTTTAGTCAATAAAGGATAAGAAGATGTGAACCTCTGATCTCCAAGGATGTAAGCTATACTTTAATCGGTTGAGTTTAACTCGTGTCAACAAAAAAATCTTCTAATTCATTTAGAGAATTAGAGGCTTTTTAATCCGGAGGGAGGAGGAGAATTGTCTTTTCAATTGGTTCTAAATTAAGGAAAAAAACATGTTAATTAAGATTTTAAAGTTTCTTTCTCTTTTTTTTTTTTAATTTGCTTCCAAATTTTTTCAAAATTTAAAGATTGTATACAAAGTTATTCAAAGAAATGAGGTCAAAATTATTCATAGAGAGAGGAGATTGGGGGAGACTTTTTCAAAGGATTTGAAAAGGATGGAGAGAGAGAGAGCGAGAGAAAGAGAGGGAAGAATTTAATGGAAGTTCAAAATTTTGACTTTTGATTTTTGGAGAACATTATTATTATAATTCTTAATTAT